AGGTGCTGGTTCTGCCAGTTGTGCCAGAAAATAGCAGGGCTTGGTTCTGGTTTGACCTCTTGCTGAGAATTTGCATTTCCACTCCAGATATACTGAATCAGAATCTCCATTTTAACAAGATCCGCAGGTGATTCTTATGTATCCCCAGGTGATTCTCAGGTATATATAAAACCACCTGAGGGTCTTGTTAAAATGTAGAATCTGATTAAGTATATCTGAGGGTGGAGATACAGATTCTCAGTAGGGAGTCTGACCAGTTCAAACCCATGGAAAATAGTTCATTTGTTAACTTCAGTTTAGAAAATTAAACAAAAAAAATCTTTTGCCAAGTGATCAAGATGCTAAAGAACAGTCTAAAGATTATAGAACTCATTAAAGCTTAGCATTTTTGCTTAAGTTGACCTGCTTTCCCTTTATGTCAGCCTTGTGTGTTGTTATGTCTCCAGAAGATAAATGACCTTAAGGTGTGGGCCTTGGGTGCTTGTTGTTGACTTTCACCCCTTGCGTTTTTGAAACATGTAGATCAGTGGTTCTCAGCCCTGATGGACATTAGCACCACCTTGGGAGCTTTTACAAAATTAAATTCCCTGGGCTCACAGCCCAGACCAATTAATTGAAATCCCTCAGAGTGGGTAGGGTCTGGACACTAGCAAGTTTTAAAAATCCCCTGGATAATTCTAATGTGAAGCCTGGATTTTAGAACTCTAGATTTAACTTATAATAATGAGATCTCCCATATCAGTAGGGACTGCTTGTTTCCTTGGAAGCTGCCTGCTCTAGTATATTAGTATACCCATCATTCAGCTAGTACTGATTTCCTTAGATTTAGAGGGCTGTTAGTCTCTTATACTGCCTTAGCTAAGCCTATGGCGATCCTGCTCATTTAGTCTCCTGTTAAATTTTTCGTGGGTACCACAGCCAAGCAAGCTCTTATTTAGCCTCCCTATTCTCCAATCTGCGCATCATCAGAGGAATGATATTTCCTAAGGAAGGATATTGTTTAGTTCTGCCTACTGAAAGTTTGGGTATGTGATCCTGCCAGGATAGATAAGTTGCGTTGAATTGATTGAGAAGGGGACTTAGGGATGGGGGAATCATTTTTCACTGATCATCTACTTTGTGCTAAGTACTGGCTGGCTGATTTCACTTCTCCCAGCAGTCCTATGAAATAGGCACCGTCACCTGTTAGTTAAAGGATTAAGTCACTGGCCAAGATGTGGTGGTTAGTCTGTCCAGAGCTTAAGTGAGACCAAAGCCTGTTCCCATGCTCTGTTCTTCATATACCACAGCTACCCCTGATCTGGTGTATCAGGCTCTACAAAGCCGTGCAAATTTATTCCTAACAAAATATTTTTATCAAGAGAGGTAATTAAAATATAGTAAAATAAGCTCCCTTGTACTCTTAGAAATGTTAGGATATAAAAGTATAAAACTTTTTTTTTCCCCCTGATTAGTCTCTGGAAATAGGTTTTAATACCCTTAGATGTTGGTAGCAGGGTGTGAATTCCATTTCCCCACCTTATTATCAGGGCAAGGAGCCTTGGTGGCAAAATGATTAAATCCTCAGCTGCTAACCAAAAGGTCAACAGTTCAAACTCACCAACTGCTCTGCGGGAGAAAAGATCTGGCGATCTACTCCCGTAAAGATTACAGCCTAGAAAACCCTATGGGGCATCTACTCTGTCAGTTCTAGGAGTTGACGGCACACAACAATAACGGTATTAGAGCAAAACCAAACCAAACCAAACCCGTTGCTGTCAAGTCGATTCCGACTCATAATGACCTTACAGGAAAGAACAGAACTGCCCCATAGGGTTTCCAAGGAGCGGCTGTTAGATTCGAACTGCCAGCCTTTTGGTTTGCAGCCATAGCGCTTAACCACTGCACCACTAGGGCTGCAGTATTAAAGCATTGGGTTGGAAATTTCAGACCCAGACTCTGGGGACTTCCAGGTTTCAAAGGAATAGAGGGCTAAAGTATTCTATTGTTTGTAGCTCTTCTTAAGAAACATAGGGTAATATGCATATTTTCACTTTTTTTTTTTGCCTTCTCTTCTTTTAATTTTTAAAAAGTATTAGCTTTGTGATTAAATATCAAGTAGTAAAGTGCAAAGTGTTATGTGAGCATCTTTTGGCCTAAAAATGGTTTAGTTTTTATATTCATTTTAAGTGCTTTTTGGAGTAGTCTGCAGGCCTTTAATCTTAATTCATCACTAAAGGATTTGGAAAACAGAAGTAAAGATCATGAGAGGTATAGAGAAATGAACATAAAGGCTTTCATCTTTAGAACTTTTCTTATTTATTTCCTAATCCAGTATACTTAGTGTCGACCTTGTCTGTCTCTTTCCTTTTAAATAACTGGCTATATAGGATAATCTTTCCTTTTAAACTATTTAAGAAAGATCACAACTTGAATAGAAATTTCATTCATTTACTGCAATAAAACATACATTTAAGTAACAGTTTTGGTTTTGTAAGTTAACATCTTATGGGAAGAGGCCAGAAATACACATTTATGTGAGCTGATCTCTGTAGCTCTCATCTGAAGACTCATCTGAAAGAGAAGGTCTGGAGAGCTCTGGTTATATCTGTAGTAACAGATGGTTTGATTAGAAGCAATTACCATGCAAGTAAATTTGCAGCATTAAATAATCCATAAAATGTTGCCATATGAGTCTGAAGCACAGATATTTTCTGTTTGGTTAATACAGAAAATTTAGATACATAGTTGTTTTCATGTCATTTCATAGAACATTTACAAAATGCCTACTGTGTGCAAGATAGTTTACTAGATGTTGTGCAAAGTTAAATGTTATGCAATGGAGTGGGACAGATATATAGTTATATAAGTTATTATATAATAAGTTATATAGGAGCCCTGGTGACACAATTGTTAAGTACTTGGCCGCTGACAGAAGGGTCAGTGGTTTGAACCCACCCAACAGCTCTGTAGGAGAAAGACCTGGCGATCTGCTCCCATAAAGATTTCAGCCTAGGAAGCCCTATGGTGCAGTTCTCCTCTGTCACATGGGGTCGCTATGAGTCAGAATTGACTCAGCAGCATGCAACAACAGCAGCAAGGTACAGTGATATAAATGGAGGTTTAAAAAAATTGTTCTCTATGTGTGAGCATAGGATGGAGTGATTAAGTATTGGTGTAGTTATCACAACCCATGGATTAAAGTATAAAATACTTCTAATAAGATTTCTTTTAATACTACATGCCAAATGATTCAGTCAGCCATTTATAAGTGCTTTGTTTACTTTTTAAATCTTTGTTAATTTTTCTGTTTCTACTGTGTAGGTTTACTTATTGTTTGGAGTAGGAAGTATTCTTACCACCCATCTGAAAACCACTTTTTCATTCTTCTATTACTTTTGGGATTAAAATGAAATTACCTGGAAAATAGTGAATTTATTTTACAAGATACATATCTGGAACCTTCAAGGTTGCCGTACTTTGGGTTTCGCCAGAGTTAGAATAGCTTTGGAAAACATATTAGTCAGGTGACTGTTCATTGACTTGTAAATACCAGCGAGTATGGGTTATTATGTGAATGGTGTTGGCCTTCTGAGCTCATCATGAACATATCCAGGAAACTTGTATTAACAGAACACATCCAGGTATCATAGATTCAGAGAAGTTTCCGGTTGAGAGAGACCTTAAAAGTTTATCTAATCTAATCCCTTCAATTCAAATAAATTGAGGCCTAGGAATGTTAGGTCTTTCCAGTGGTTGGAATATTTCGGAGAGATCTTTGTTGTTGATATATTAACCTTTTTTTGTTATTCCTCTGAAGGATTTAAAATGATATGCTAATTTGTTATTAGAATTTTGCCACCCAAGAGTAATAGGCATTTCAAAGGAGGTGACACATAATAGAACACAATTTGAGTAGCTTTTTCATATTTTTAGTCATTTCTAGTCTAGTCAGTTGCTTCTGACTCCCATCTTTTTTCAGCTGTGGGCTTCACTGCCTCAGTTAATGATGGTGAATATGATGCTTGATGGAGAATTAAAATAAGAAAATTGTTAGAAATCATAACTAATCATTCATAGAACAGAAATAGCTATAAAGAAATAAATTTGGGCATTTATGTTAACAAAACATATCTTTAAAAGATATATCAGAACTTGTTATTGTAGCCCATTTTACATAGGCAATCCCTGGGTTACTATTTGACTTACAGACAACTCGTACTCGTACTTGTGGACAGACTGCCATAAAGCCTATTCTATTAAAAATTTGAGGTAAACATGACGGTTCATAATAATGAATACACCCACTACTTTGTACTGCTCATGAAAACACTGTGCTGTTTGGAAGTGTTTCTTAAGTGTTTTATATGCATAGAAAGATAAAATATATGTTATATACTAAGACAAACATTTGACTAATGCTAACTAAGAACCTTATGAGCCCTTGTGGCTCAGTGGTTAAGAGCTATGGCTGCTAAGCAAAAGGTCAGCAGTTCCAATCCACCAGCTGCTCCTTGGAAACCCTATGGGGCAGTTCTGCTCTGTCCAGCAGGGTCGCTGTGAGTCAGAATTGACTCATCAGCAATGGGTTTTACGAGTACTTCTTCCAACTTGCCTACAAATTTGACTTAAAGACAGACTTACGAATGGATCTCATTCGTAACCTGGAGACTGCCTGTATTGCAAAATTTGGAATTAGGTATATTGCTATTAAGTAGGGTTGGCGATTATGGTGCTTTGCGTGATGCCTTTGGTTCAGGTTATGTATACGTACTTACTGTGACTTTTGCCCATTCTTTTTCATTCTAAATTGTGTGAGAGAAGAATTAACTTTTTCTATCTTATTTTTCATACAGCATAAAAATATCATTTTTTTGGTTACATATGCATAATAAAAAGAAAATCATTCTGAGTAATTTAGCATCATTAGATATTTTCAATGTGGTGAGTGCAGACCTTTTGTTAATACTCAGTGCTACTAAGACCAAATTTTACAATAATATATGGATTTCTTATTGCAGGTACATGTTGGGACTTGCAGCAATTCCAGCAGTTATACAGTTTTTTGGCTTTCTTTTTTTACCTGAAAGCCCTCGCTGGCTCATTCAGAAAGGACAGACTCAGAAGGCCCGTAGAATTTTGTCTCAGATGCGTGGTAACCAGACCATTGATGAGGAATATGATAGCATCAAAAACAACATTGAAGAAGAGGAAAAAGAGGTTGGCTCAGGTATGTGGATGTCCTGTTTCTATGAATTTTAAAACTGCATACTGGTTTCATTTAAAAATTGTATTCTTTTAATAGTATTTAGTATATCCAAGGAAACCCTGGTGGCGTAGTGGTTAAGTGTTAGGCTGCTAACCAAAAGGCTGGCAGTTCAAATGCTGGTCTTATGTGTATAACCAAACCAAAATAAATACATTTTAATTTAAAAAGCAATATAATAATTTTATCAAAAAAAGGAGAAAAATACCCCCACAATACTACTAAACCCAAAAAAATAAAACCTGTTGCCATCAGGTCGATTTTGACTCATGGTGACCCCAAGTGTTACAGAGTAGAATTGCATTGTAGGGTTTTCTTGGCTGTAATCTTACAGAAGCAGAACACCAAGTCTTTCTTCCGTGGCACTGCTAGGTGTGTTCAAACCACCAATCTTTAGATTAGTAGCCGAGTGCAAACATTTGCCCCACCCAGGGTCCTCATCATGCTACTAGACCAAAACCAAACCCATTGCTGTTCAGTCGATTTGGACTTATAGTGACCCTGTAGGACAGAGTAGAACTGCCCCACAGGGTTTCCAAGGCTGTAAATCTTTATGGAAGCCAACTGCCGCCTCTTTTTACCACAGAGCGGCTGGTGGGTTTGAACCACCAACCTTTTGGATAGCAGCTGACCGCGTAACCCCTGTGCTACCAAGCCTCCTTCATAATCCTACTATACTCCCATAATTGGTATTTTTATTTTTGTATACTATCTTTTTCTTTTATTCTTTTTCATATGGATATACTTGACATGGTTACCATCGTTGTGTATGTTTGTGTGTGTATTTTTTTGTATGTATTTATGTGTCCTTTAGTGATGCAAATGACTTATGTGCTCAACTGCTCATCAAAAGATTGGAGGTTTGAGTCCACCCAGAGGTGCCTTAGAAGAAAAGCTTGTTGATCTACTTCCAAAAAATCAGCCATTGAAAACCTTATGGAGTACAGTTCTACTCTGACACACATGGGGTCACTATGAGTCAGAGTCAACTTCATGGAAACTTTTTTTTTTTTTTTTTTAAAACCAGTTTTATTTTTATATTAAATATCTGATTTACAGTGAAACCTGTCACAGAAGGAAAGCTAATATTTTCCACTAATAGAGAGTGATAGAAAAGTGGTAAGACTGTACTCTGTCGAAGGTGGAAAACTTGTGAGAACCGGGAAAACAAGGCAATCCTATCCAGTTCTGGCTCTTGGAACCATATATGAAAACTGTGAGAGCTGGAACATACCCAGGCTGCCTTGTTTTTCCAGATTGGACAGATGTGAACTTAAGAGTTCGCAGTTCCCCACCTGGGCAAATCTTTCAGGCAACGTATTACAGTAGGGTCTGCCCATATCACAGGATGGTTATCTCTTAATTTACTGGGCATATAGAAGGGCAAAGGGTCTTTGTGAGGAGCCTTCATTTATAACAGTTCATAATTGTCTCCCACAGCAAGCAAAGTAAAATCAACCAACAGAGGAGATGAGATTCTTCTGAAATCAGTCTTAGGGAAGGATCTAGAAATGAGGGGTGTCTATTCATATGCTTTTTACTACCTTGTTTGATAGTGCTCTCTTGTTGACATCTTCAGTTTTTTATCCTGTACCAGAGAACAACAGGTAGATTCTGGGCCCTCAGCCTAGCTCTAAGATCCCCTCAGGCAGGGTTTAGGGGAAGTCTCAAATAAAGCACCATCTCTCCTCTGTGGAATGTGGTAATTAGGCAGAATCATTGGAGAGAAAACATAAACAAGGAAATCTTTCTCTCCCTAGAGAAACATGCAAGTGGTGCTATTAGAACCACAGAAAAAGCCAGGGAAAAAATCAATGTTTTGGGAGAATGAAGTGCTGCAACAGTTTGAATAAAAGAAGAGAGTGAGAGAATAGAGAAATTGACTGTAGGTTTCAAGGAAGAGCAGCCTCTTAAAAATCTGTAACAGAGGGACAATCCAGGGAAGATAAAAATGTTTATGGACCTTTTTTATTTTTAAAGGAAAATAACTTTATTGTGTGTCCTGTATATATATGTGTGTGTGTGTATGTATATGTACACACACGCACACACACATATATACATATATGTTTTACAGTTTGGATTACCTAGATCATGGAAGGAGCCCTGCTGGTGCAGTGGTTAATGGGTCGGCTGCTAACCCAAAGGTCAGCCTTTCAAATCTACCAGCTGCTCTTTGGAAACTCAATGGAGCAGTTCTGTGCTGTCCTATAGGGTCACTATGAGTTGGAATCGACTCAACGGCAACAGGTTTAGTTTACAGGTAGATCATAGAAACTTCCAAGATAGATTTTATTGAAATAAAAAATACCAGTGAGAAAGTTGGTTACTCTTTGGTCACTATAATCTTAAGATTTAGGCACATGTGAGAAGTAGCAACACAAAGACACCATCTAATGTTTCAGACTGAAATCCAGCCTCTCATCACTGTTGTAGGGCATTCAGGTTATGTATGCAGTGTATAATCTATGCAAAAACATTCAAGCCACCAAGATTTGCATTGTTGAATTTTATCAACTAATGAACTAAGTTTATCTGGGTGAATGTTGGCTCTGTTTTGCCTTTGTTAATCTCTAGCCCTGAAGGAAGAAAAGGCTTTGTAGGGAGTGAAATTTATTCAAGATCCTCCTGTGAGTTCGGTTTAAAACATGATTTGATTTACCTTCCAGCTTTTTGGGGGTCACATCTATTGTGTACAGCAATAGAATGTGCTCTCTCCTTTTTTTTTTTTTTAATCTTTTCCTCCAGTGATGTTGCAATTAGGTTATCAAGTGTTATCTCTTCCTAAGTCATTTTCTTTTCCTGTGAATTGATATTGTCTGTGGCCATTTCAGCAAATCATATCCTGCAGAGAGGTCAAAGAGGGTAGATATTTATCATATCTTGATAGAAATTCTCCCAAAAGTTTTAGAAATCCAATCTCAGAATAATGACATTGCAATAGAATACTCATTGCTGTTGACTTAGAAAAAAGTAGTCTTTTTTCCCAATATTTTTTGGGTGGCTTGCTTGTATTTTTTTCATGTGGTAGTGCTGAAGGGGAAAAACATCACAAAGTTTAGTAAAGCGAAAAAGAAAGTGTTATTTGGCATGTATTCAAAAAGACAAAAGTGGGAAACGG